AACCTCTTCTATAGAAGAGGTTCCACAAATTTACAGTGCCGTTTAGAACCGGTTCCAGCTCCCTTCCCCTGCCCGTCCGCACATCATCAAGATGAAGAGTGAGAGGAGGAATTCTGGGAGTTGAAGTCCACAAGTCTTAAAGCTGTCAAGTTACAAGACCCTTGCACCCCTAACCTTTTAGGGAAAAAACCCCCAAGGGTATTCAAACTTGACAGCTTTAAGACTTGTGGACTTCAACTCCCAGAATTCCTCCTCTCACTCTTCATCTTGATGATGTGCGGACGGGCAGGGGAAGGGAGCTGGAACCGTTTCTAAACGGCACTGTAGATTTGTGGAACCTCTTCTATAGGTTAGAACTGGCAGGAACCCACCCCTGCAGCATTGAATTATGCAAGGAAAAACCCTTAGTGATGGCTCTGTGGAGAAGCATGATAGAAGCTTTGAGGGTGAATTCAGAAGGGAAAGATGAAAATTTACAGATGTACTGTATACCTTTCTGCTGTAGCATGTATACCAGGCATGCCATTATTAAAGCTATTTCCTGAATTTATCCCATTTTCAGAATAAAGTACAACTGATTGCTGTTATGGGATTCAATTTGCTTCTTCTCAAAGTACAGGTCTTAGAATTCAGTAATGTTACAAGGTCTGATTGTTCAGAGCTTTATTTTTTTTACAATTGGTGGAACAACGATTGCCAACTTTGCAGATTGTAGTTAGACATAAGCTTCCATGGAAACGAAAAGTTTGTGGTTTGTTAGGGGCAGAGAATAGTACTAACTGATACCCAGGCTTTCTGGAGCTGAGTTCTAGTTCATTTGTGCCAAATTTTAGGGGTGAACGTGGGCAGGAATATGATGCTCACCAAAGATAGATTGTTTCCTTCCTATAAGACAATAATTCATCCTCTGCTTTCTTTAATAAAAAGCTATAACCAAATAGGATTGTTGCCTTCTGTAAATATGAAGGTACTCAACTGATATGACCATGCAGAGAGAAAGCTAGAAGAGAATTCAAATATTAGGGAAGGAATCTATATAGGCCGGTAATTATGGTATGAAAAACACTATTCACCTATTACAGGAAAAAGAATGTGTTGTGTTTATGCATGTGCACCAGTATATGCATTCCCCCTGAAATTAGGGGGGAGGGGATCAGATGGGGCTGGAGAGACACATAATACTCTTCCCAATTTGTGATGGGTCAAACTAAACTAGATTAATATGGATTTTGCCTGTTTTATCCTCGCATAACAAAACTATTTTAAAATTGTGCCAAGTATTTAGCAACTTGATACTTTTAACTTTCTCTGCTTGGTATTATCCAGCTATGGTTAATTTATAGCCAGAAAAATCAGTTTGACTTAAACATAATCTATACATAATACTGTAGAAATTTTACAGACACAAAAGAAAAAAAAACTCTTGTCTTTTCACTAGGAAATCCAATACATGCTTAACCATAATATATCTTGCCAAGTTCAGTACAGTTTATTCCATTATATCAATATGGAGAATTGTAGCTTTAACCAGATGTTTTCCAGTGGGGAAAGCTAACATATTCCCCTCCCTAGAGTTTTGACATTTATATAAATGTCATCAGTCAACTCTAACTTTTAAATAAACTGATTTTAGGGATAAAAACAAAATATTTTTTCTCAGTGTGCTATTCTTTTCTCATGATAGCTCAATCCACTTTTCTAGCAACAAGGCTTATATTTATGCAGTACTTATTAACAATTAGTCATAAGGGACACCAAAATCAAACTGAACTTTGGAAGATCTGCTCAGTGCATAGCAAATATAACAATGAATGTTTCTTCTATTCTTAATCTGACAATACCAAAACATTGAAAGTTTAAAACTAATAGCATACTGGATAGCAATGGTCACATTGCTCAATTCACTATTAGGTAGAGTTCTTCGTATTCACCGCTTCAAAAAGCTCTTTTAGTCCTTCTGGTTTAAAAGTGCCTTTTATTGCATTCTCTTAAAGGTAAAGGTTCCCCTTGCACATATGTGCTAGTCATTTCTGACTCTAAGGGGCGGTGCTCATCTCCACTTCAAAGCTGAAGAGCCAACGCTGTCCGAAGACGTCTTCGTGGTCATGTGGCCAGTATGATTAGATGCCGAAGGTGCACAGAACGCTGTTACCTTCCCACCAAAGATGGTTCCTATTTTTCTACTTTCTACTTTTCTACATACTTTCGAACTGCTAGGTTGGCAGAAGCTGGGACAAGTAACGGGAACTCACTCCATTACGCCGCGCTAGAGATTTGAACCGCTGAATTGCTGATCTTTCTGATCAACAAGCTCAGCATCTTAGCCACTGAGCCACCGCATTGCTATAAGCCATTCTGTTATTGTTGGCTTAAATTTAGTTTTATTTTCTGTGGTTTTTTTAAAATCTCCTTCAGACTTGACGCAGCTATCTTCTTATTTTATTATTTATTTTGCATGGCTTATAGCCCACTCTATAAAAAATTCACTGAAATAAACCTCTTTTGAAAAAACCTTTACAAATGACAAAGGAAAGTGCTTTACATTCCATAAAAAGAAGATTAAGAGTTAAGCTTTATTGTTTTAATCATGTCCTGTTCACTTCATAGTAGAGACAGACTCTTGGACCTTCTGAGATGTTCTCACCAGACAGGCAAACTCAATTCTGGCAAGGCAGTGCTTGGTGTTACCAGATATTCATTTGTTTAGTCTTCATAGGTTGTTACCAATTGTTAATAACCAGCACAGTGACTTAATGAGAGAAGTAATCCTGCCATGATTGAATTGATCCATCAGCTATTTCGCTGCCACCTTCTGAACCCACTGTAACTTGGAAATCATTGTTAAAGGTGGATGCCCTACTTACTAGTACATAGAGCAATTTACAGTAAGCCAATCAAGTGGTGATCAAAGCATGAGCTACTCACACCAGAGCATCCTGATTTAAGAAGGATTATCAGTGGCCACAGCTTCCACCTGCTTTTTAAGCATTAGCCATAAATCCAACAGGATCTCCCAAACCATGCACCAACTTCTTCAAGAGAACATGGCCTGGTATAGAGAAAGTATTGGAACTATTCCTGAGTATTTACTGATGTATAGCAATAGCAATAGCAGTTAGACTTATATACCGCTTCATAGGGCTTTCAGCCCTCTCTAAGCGGTTTACACAGTCAGCATATTGCCCCCAACNCCAGGCTGAGAGATGGAATAGCTGGACCATCTTTGGGAGGGAGCATCAATAGCCACTCGGTCTTGTCGGGATTGAGCGCCAATAAAACCAAACAATTTGGGTAACATTACATTGCATTGGGTCAGGATTTGGAAAAGGCTGTTCTCAGCCTTCCAGAAAGACTTGGTTCATGGATTAGACACAGTCCTCACCAAAACTGCCAAGCCTGGTGAAATTTCAAAGTGCCTCAAGAAAGCTCCAGGTAATTATATTGTTATTTTAGAGTATTTTTCTCTAATGCTTCCCAGGAAGTCTCACTCTTGCATTCCGATCTCTACGGGAACAAAGGAGAAAAAGGCTATTTGTGTGCCAGAGCCATCAAATTATTTTATTCTAGGCTAGTTTCAGAAAGTAAAATTTAATAAATAATAATTCTACAATAAGGACTTTTCTGCTGTTTTAACAATTTTGAAACAGTATTTAGTTTCAAGCTTTCATTAAAAATACTGACATCAGCAGGGCTGTAAAACTCATGGCCCATGGACCGGATGCATCACGCACTGGTCCCGCCCACACCATTTAGCGAAGGGGGGGGAATCTCGACACGTCACGGGATGCCACTGTGACAATGTGAGTCTGACACCCCTGATTTACAGAAACCATTGTATTAACAAATGGACCAAAACATGCCCTGAGATCACCTTTATGACTTCAATTCAACAGGTGAGAAGCAGTGAGAGCTCTCCACTTTCCTATGAAGCTGGTCAAGTAATGACAAGGCTCTCTCTGTGTTTACAACACAAATCTAGTTTTTTCAAGGGCTGGAAACCTGGTGAAGGAAGATTCTAATTCACATGGAAGCACTTGTGTGTATGTATCTTCACCCCAACTGAAGACAATGTTGCTATATGTTTATGTTACCAGTTTTGCTAGGGAATATTCTAATGAATGTTGAAGATTCTAAAATAGCCCCTTTTAATTCTATCACATTTATAGTCTACTGATTTCTCAATAACTTATATAAAACTACACTGGAATGCCAAATCTGTTGAACTAGAGGCAAGATGAATTAAACAAACTTGGATATTTACGGAAGGAAAATACAGACCCACTGACATTGCCAAAAATGGCTAATGCTATTTGGAAAATGACAACACTGAAAGGAGAAACTGGCTGTATACCAATTCTTCATATTTTATGGAGCAGATGAAAAGTTACTCTGTGGAATATATGCAAATAAATGTTTTTAGCAAGGCAGACAAAAGAACAAGCAGTTTAAGGAATCAAAAGCTAGAAATGTTACAATGGAATAAAAGGAAGATGTGCAAATTTACCTCTTCCCTATGGTTCTTTATTGGCATACAAAGAATGCTTTGTGTTTTATAGCCTGTGATTTGGTCCACTTCAGCATTGAATCGGGGATCCTGGCAAAAAAAGAAAATATGTAACTGTGCATACACTTTTTCAAAAATTGTTCTCATTTACTTATTTCATAAAACCATAGGATATCTAACTAACAATTCTTCCTTAAAATTATATTTCCATTCTGAGAAAGACTGTAAGAAGATTCAACATATTTAGGAATTTATTTTCTTTAAAAAAATGTTTTTCTCCCTAAAGGTCTGTACAAAGTCTACTTTGGCGGGTTTTTGGCGCTCTCTAGCTTGGTTGTTTTCTTGTATTTAGTTCATTACTCAAACTAGGTAACATCATCAGTGCTAATCAGCAAGAAAACAACCAAGCTCAGAATCCCAAAGGAAAGAAGTTTGCTGCTTATCAAGAATCTCTCCTCTGTATTCTTGATAAATGGAAACTAAACTGCAGATAATATTTCAAGTGGTAGGTTTGGAATAAACTGAGATCCAGGGACTATCATTCCATCAGTGGTTCACACAATCTATTCAAGTGATCAGTAAAAAAGCTGCAGAGTAAGCAAGGGTAACTGCACTTGACTTGTATAATACACTCCTTACCCACTTTATTAATCTCCCATTCTCAGTTAAAGCTTCTTTTTTTGACATATGTACTCTATTTAGTTCCTTTCCTTCTCAATGCTTCCTAAACCAAAAGTCTTGAATGGGTACTTGGCTTAAAATACCTTATTACTTATCTTTTGGAAGGCTTACTCTTGTATTACAAAGAATTCTTCTGTCAATGTTTTGTATTCTTCAAAGCTACCAAATAAAAGTATTCAGGCTTCATCAAAGCAAATGTTGTAAACCAAATTTCCCAGAAAGTCACCCTCAACAGTTATTTTATGTGGATTGTTTAATTTTATAAATAAATAAAAGCTGTTAAAAGTTGTGCAGAGAAAACACTTGTGATGGGCTACCTATTTCAGTCTTGTACCGTAGTACTATTCTATATTTTATTTGGAGAAAAACATAAAATTAACATCTCTAGAGATTATGATTTAATAGATGTCATATTTGCATCTAAATATTGTATGTCTCCCAATCCTTTTTAGTGTAAGACCTAATGTGAAATATAAACCATGCAGAGGAGGAACAGATCATCTTGAGTAGAAGAAGAATTGCACTTCTTACTATGCCAGAGACCCATTACTTCTAAAAAGACAGTATTTAACTAGAACGGCTAAGATTTAAAGATATGCAATCTTGTGAGATCATTAGAAGAGGAAGAGCCAGCCCTAGCATGTGAGATAAATTTTGCTCAGCATAAACAGGGCTAGGGTGACTTTATGTTTACAGGGTTTAAGGACAGAGATTTGGGCCTCTAGTAAATCAGTTCACTTACAGTTACTATCAAAAACATTAAGTTCATGCTGGGGAGTATCAGAGAACAACAGGGGAGCATTATGGAACTAGAGGGTGATTAGAATTGGGCAGACACACATAAATACAGTTTATATGTAAGTACAGTTTGTAAATAAGTACAGTTCAGGTCACGGTCATTACAGAAGTATTCAAAACAATCTGAGTATCAAGAAAGTAGATCAAGCGTTTTGTTCCAACAAACCTCAATTGAAGGAGACTGAGGACGATGGAACGTATAAAAAAGGGTAACCAAAATGATTGGATGTAATCCATAGGAATCTTAGCTAAAAGTAAAATTAAAAGGGACAGGAAATATTATAGGGCGGGTACATACAATAGTAAAGGCTTTGAAAAATGCCGATCAGGAAATGTTTTTCTTCACCTCATACCATGTTAGAACTTGGAATTTCTCACTGAAACTAAATGTAGGGAAATTCAGAAGAAGTAAGATTAACGCAAATTGGTTAAACTACCCATTTAGAAGTAAGATGATTACTTTACCACTGTCTATTAGTTTTAATTCCTGTATCTTCTGGTTATATTATCTGCTGGGGAACAACATGACTTGAACAAACAAACAAACAAACAAACAAACAAACAATGAAAGAGAAGAAGGTGGGCAAGGATAATTGACGCGTAAAATATAGCCTCTCATTATCAAGACAACCCCTGCCTTCTCGAGGTGCCCACCGTTTTCCAACAGAAGGGGCTCTGTCGTCTCTTGGGACCGGCGAGCTCAAGTAGTATTTAGCCTAGAATCATGGACCCCGTTGATTCGGGATCCATGCGACTCTACAGCGAAGGGATTGGTGATGCCGTACCGACGCTAAAGACTTAAGTCAAGTAAGTCAAGACTTGGCTGAGATAGCCTCCTGGAGGGTAGGAAGAAATGAGAAAGAAATCCAGAAGGCTGGCAGAAATGCTGTCTTCCTAGCAGATGCCCTTAGGCAGGAAAAGATGGGAGGAAGGGGGACAAAGCGGAAGAGGTGGTGAGGAGAGGAGTGGGAGTTTAGGGAACCCGAAAGCAGTCTGGGCATGGAAGAGGAAAGGTGGGACCTTACCAGTGTGCTACATG